TCCCATGCAAAAATGGAGGGGCAACTGTATAGGGTCAATATTGTCTATTCAGAATTTAACAGTGTTTGGGGCAGGGGGAGTAAAATATGCCTGTGGCTTTTTTGTAACATATTATTTCATATATAAATCACCCACTAAGACAGTTTGCTTCATAACTACTTGATTTTAAATGTTTCATATCTATTGGGATGGTGTGATAGCTGGAGACTCGGGGCTGAATCTTGCTGATTAATCCCAACTAGAATAAACCCACTGAGTCAACTGTTGTGTAGTGAGTCAACACTTAGGCAAATCCCATGTATGAGTCCACTGTAGTTGGGACTAACAATAGCATCCAGACCTCAGTTTCCCAGTATAATCTCACAGAAAAGCTCATTTCAATTGGGTATCACTTTTGGGCTGTATTCTTCCCAATGACCCATCAAACCCTAGTCATTAGGATACACTCTACTAGCAATGTTACCAAATCTGACCATCACTAAGATTCTAGTCAAGATGGCTCCATCAACATGGAGACAGTATCATTTTTTCTCAGCATTAAGATTCTCCAGCTCCCTCAAGTGATATCATCTGTAGTGCAACTCCAAGTGCTAGATGGGGTCCCCCCTCCATCTTGGTCTCCACAATTTGCACAAAATATACACTATGTAAAACTTCTGTTTCCATGCAAAATTAGTGTCTTTTTCCCCTTTGTGAAGAGAAGCAGCAAACACAACAGGACAAGCTGATCAGTTACAAAGACACAAACTACCCATCCAGTATTACTTTTGCCACAAGGCCACAGTTATCACACATTTCAATACTGCATATTTTACAAAAAATGCCCAAAAAACTCAAGAAAATATGATAATTTTCTCCAAGAATGATAATTAAAAATAACTCCTATTTCACTGTAGATAATTTTTTTAAAAGTTGACTCATTTACCACACGAAGATAAAACAAGTCAGGATTAACATCTCTGCATTCTGCACCTCAGAGAATATGAGTGTTTCTTTAGACTCTAGAGAGGTTATTGGGTGGAAATGAGTTCTTATATGCAGCTCAAGAAGCTACTGCATAGAACTGTGCAGTACTTTGTGACCTGAATAACTCACAGGCATCTCACCTGTGAAACTGAGCTGTGCTTTGCATATTGAGAACACATTGCATTTGAGTTACCTCCTGAGTAGAAATGCCTTGAACTGAGCTGAGCTTTGCAGCCTGGGAAACTGTTGTATTGAGATTTACTCCTGAGCAAACAAAGAACTGAACAATGCTTTGCTCTTAATCTTGCTTGATGGAAGAATGTGTCACCAAGACCCTTCCTAAATGGCTCCTAGGTTGAAAATCATCCCCTCTAAAGCTCCAGAATCTACATAAGGGATAAAGTGACTTTTTATGTAAAATCTGAATGAGGGACTAATATCAGGCATCTCACCAGGATAAATCTGGATAAATAAAGGACTGCTTCCTCCCAGCAGTGTTTTGTGTAGTATTACAATTTCTGAATAATTCTGTATAGTTAATTTCTGGTTTTAAAATGGAATGAAAATAAGTCATTGGATAATACATTTCTTTTATGTAGACCTCAAAGGCATTTTACCATGCAATCCTCAAAATCTCAGTCCTTTGATGTGTCTATTAATGTCTATTGGTAGCCTGAATTCTATTGGTAGCCCAGGCTACCACCATTCAACAATTAATTTGATGGGCTTACAAGTATCAAGGTGTTGCTCTTGACATTTACAATGTCTCCATTGAGTTATGGAGGCCTTTATGCAAAACATAGGGTGCAATGACTGGTCCAGCAAAAAATACTGTCTCTAATAGCTGATCTTTGACAACTAACTATAGGAGTCTGGAAGTGAGTTGGGGAATTGGTCTCTTCAGTACACTTTCCGCCTCCTTTAAATATGAAACTAGTATAATCTATGGAATGACAACATCATATCTGTGTATTTCCTCCACTGAAATGAAGTGAGAAGACTTCAAGTCCTGCCAAAGACATCTGCAGAGACCTCTGGGACTCCTTGCAAGCCCTCTGAAAGAAAATAGCTGGATACATCTCCATTTAGCTCTCTAATCTCCAAGAACATGGAAATGGCTATGTTGGGAGAGAGTGTGCTTCTTATAAGGTTAGAATTTCTGACCTATGCAACAACCACAAAAGTGAGTTGTGATGGAATAACTCTTAGACCACTGTAATTCATTAACAAGATGCCAGCCATCAGTTGGCCCTTCATATCCATGGTTTTTTTTAAATCCACGGATTCAAGCATCCACTGCTTAAAAATATTCCAATATATATATATAAATTCCAAATACTGTAAGCAAACCTTGATTTTGTCATTTTATATAAAAGATACCAATTGACTATGCTATTACATTTAATGGGACTTGGATATCCACAGATTTTGGTATCCACGGGTGTGTGTGTGTCCTAGAACCAACCTCCAGCAGATACCAAGGACCCACTGTAGTTTTTTTTTTTTTGCAATTCATTATAAACAACTAATTGCAATCAACTTTATTTATTTATTCAATTATTTACTCATTCATTATCTGCCTTTTCCTCCCAATACGGGACCCAAGGCAGCTCACAATATAAATTACTTTCAATATTTGCAATTGGTTACTTTCAACTCCTGACAGATCATAAGAGAGGGACAGGTTAACTTTTTCTTTCATTTCCAGATTCTCTTTTCTCTTAAGAAGAAAAGAAAAGCTCTGGTGGATCAAACAAAAGGCCAATCTATCCCAGCATCCTGTTTCCCACAGTGACCAACAAGTTGCCTCTGGGAAACATAAGAGCAGGATGCAGGGACAATAGTCATCTCCCCTTGTTGTTCTCTGGCAACCTGTTCACAGTGGCATAGTGCTTTTTATTATATAATATTTAGTAGCTGTTGATGCCCCTATTCTCTGTGAATTTATTCAATGGTCTTTGAAAACTGTCTAAGTTGGCAGCCAGCACTACCATTTTTTGTGGAAGCAACTTCTATAGTTTAATTATGCATTGTATGAAGAATTTATTTCCTTTTGTCTGTTTTGAATCTCCCACCATTCAGCTTTGTTGGACAATCCTAGGTCCTAGCATTATGCCAAAGGAAGAAAAACTTCCCAACACTTTTAGTGTCACCCTTATTCTTCCATACACATTAAATTCCACCTCAGTCCAGACATCATCATTTTTGCCAAGGACCTCTCTTCTTCTTCTTCTTCTTCTACCCTACAATCTGGAGTTGCTGCCTAAATCACTGTTGGACATCCATGACCCTTCAGATTTAGCACGCCATTGGTACATCACCACTGGGTTTGATAGTTAGGGCTGATGGGAGATGTAGTCCAAAAACAAGTGAAAGACCATTGTTGTGCAGATGGCCCTAAAGTCACCTGTGTTGTGGTACTTTTTCATAAATGTGTCAGTTTCTGGGCCAGCAGTATTGAACCAATAGCCAACAGTTAGTTAGCAGAAGAGCCAAAACTGGACAGAGAAACTTCTCTTAGCACCAGTCTAAAATTATCTCCACTCATCCATGTTCTTGATACAAGGAAAACTAGTTTTCGACTGTGTATAATTATGTGCATCCTAAGCAAACAGGATACCAAGATGTTAGTGTCCTAGATTAAGTGCTTGCTTGGGCAAATGCATTTGGAAGTAGGTGTAAATGTTTTCAAGGTTGTGGATTTCAGTGGAATGATTTGTGGATTTGTCTGCAACTGTGAATCAATTTTAAATGAAATCACAGACTTCTCTTGGTTTCAAGCTATTTTCAGTATGCCTTCCAGGCAATCATTCTTTCACACTCTGACTCCTCTGCATCCACGTTTTTCCTTTTTATCTTCTTTGCCACAATATTTGCTTGCTGATTCTAAAGGCATTAAACTGATAAAAGCAGTGGTCAGGTAGCAACCTTGTGACATTTTAACCTGGGTTCAAAGCATCTCTTACAGGGCAGTTCCCTGGGCAAAGCTTTGATGTTCTTACACTGATCCACTCCATAATTTACTATTGTCTTAGCTATTTACCTTGGTAAGTTTGGTTTTCAATAATATGAAGGCATGGCAGATAATTTCAGTACAATCATCATTGCTCAGATGCCTGTAAGAGGTTATTTATGTGGGAAAAGGCATGTACCAAAGCATAAACATAAAGCCAATGAGCTGTACAAATGATTTAATTTTGTCTTTTTAGGTGTATACACAAACCATATTTACAACTTTTAATTTGGAAAAATATAAAGTCATAATGAGAAACAAATAGTACTGTTTTCAGTTAGGGCAAAAAGTTTCATTTGGAATACGAAATCGGTTCTGAATGGTTTGAAGCCCAAACACTAAATACATACTTTGTGGATCAGTATTTCAATATCCAAATACTAGCATTTAAAATTCTAATACTCAATTTTTTTCTTTTTAAAAAAGTACTTAAGGGGGCTTAAAATAACTAGGATTTGAAACAAGCAACAAGAAAATAGCTGGATTTTTTTTAAAAAAAATTGTTTGGTTATTTAAAATTTTATTATCCACATTTCTGAACATATTTCAATGTGGAAAACACATTTCCAAAACAAATTACAATATATGTAGTATCATCAATATTACCAAAGTGACCAAGTTTTCTTTAATTCCTTTATCACCTGCTGGAGCACAGAAGAATCCTCTTTGGGTTACATTTGATATACGGTATGTTCAAGTTGACTTTGAGTGGTGCCACAATAAACTACAGTTCCCAGAATTCCATAGCATTGAATCATGGCAGTTAAAGTGATGTCAAACTGGATTATTTCTACAGTGCAGATGTAGGCTAGGGTAATAATCTAATCTTTGTTTTTAAAATAAATGTAACCAGTGTTACTAAGATCCCAGCATCAAAATATTAAAGAAGGCCAGAGGCCATTCAAAACACACTTTGGAAATAATGCTGTACTCTCAATGCAGAAGCAAGGGAAGGGGGGACAGCTAAAAAGTAAAAACAATACCAAGGTACAAGAAGATTTTAAAAATATGTCTTCAGTAGGACTAGTGTTGTGTAGTGGTTTGAACATTGGACTACAACTCTGGAGACCAGGGTTTAAATCCCTGCTCAGTCATGGAAATCCACTAGGTGACCTTGGGCAAATGATACTCTCTCAGCCTCAGAGGAAAGCACTGTCAAACCCCCTCTGAACAAATCTTGCCAAGAAAACCCCATGTTAGGGTTTCCATAACTTAGGAACAACTTGAAGGCACCCAACGTCAAGAGCTAAAAAACAACAACATTCCTCTTTGACCCAGAAAGCGGATCATAAAGTAAATCAGATAGAGATAATAAACTCTCTGGGTGCAGAGCATAATAACCTGGGTCAAATTCAGTTCAATGATTACTTAAAGGGTCAGAGAATTTAGAGTTTGTGCTACATTAGAACATAACCTTCTCTCTGAAACCAATACAGGGCTTCACTGCCTTATCCTCACTTTACAGTACAATCTCTGGCTTGAATCCTCCTGGTAGTTCCCACTAGTGTAGATCTACTGAATCCATTGTTGAACTGTGAGTCAATATTTACAGTCAACACTGTAGATTCTGTTGATTCAATGGGCCTACTTTAGTTGAGACTACCAAAAAGATTCAGACCTATATAATCAGTGGGGTCCAGTTTCCCACAAATAACTGTAATCCAGGTTGCAGATGCATGTACAAAAATTGGTTTTCTACTCTGAGAAGTAGATACTTTGTAAATGTTTGTGTATGTGTTGAACTTTTCCTCTTATATCGTTTGATTCAGACTTAGAATATACCCACTGAAATCAGTGGGACTTAGGTGAGTCTAGTCCTTTTGACTTACCTCAATGAAATCCTCCAGACAGTGTTGGGCTGGAACTCTGATGAGACCTAGCCTAGATGATGTTTAGGAATGCTGAGAGCTGTAGTATAACCATATCTAGAGGGCTGCATCTTCCCCACTCTTAACCTGTTGATTTCACAGAGTCTACTTTAATTATGATGTAAGTCTTATCCAGTCCATAGAAGGAAACTCGATGTATATGACTGCTGCTGCACTATAGAATTAAGACAGTTTGACACCACTTTATCTGCCATGGCCCATTCTATCAAATCCTAGGATTTGTAATTTGTTGTGGCACCAGAGTTCTCTGTTAGAGAAGGCTAGAAAATCTCATAAAACTACAAATCCCAGAATTCCACAGTATGGCACCATGGCCGTTAACGCTGTGCCAAACTGTATTAATTATGCAGTGCAGATGTATCCTAAGTTGGATTCAGTATTTACTTAAAAGTCACTGAATTGTGGCCAGTGCATTTGGGGGTATCAACTGTTTGGGTTCTTTTGGTTTGGTCCCACTCAGTTGCATCTAAATGATGAAGCTTCGTTCTTCATCTGAGACTGACCACTATAAAACTGAATTTGTTTTACATGTGTGTTCTTCTGTTCTAAGCAATGTGACTTGCCTTGGAACCATGGGTTCAGTTTATGCCTGCATAGACCCTGCAAACTCATAGAGCCCCCAAAATATCCTATACATTCCAAGGCAGTGTATTCCTCTGTGGAACAACTCTTACCATTAGAAAGTTCTTCTAAAGTTTAGGTAAAATCTATTTTTTTGTAGTTTGAATCCATACCTTAGTTACATTCTATTTGGGTCACTGTAGTGCCCTTTACATGGTACTGCCTTTGGTGAGTGTTCAGAATTTTCGGCTGGCCCAAAGAGCTGCATTCAGGCTGTCAGTTGGAGCTGGTTAGACAGAGGACACAAATCTGTTGTTACAACAGCTCTACTGGGCACTTGCCTGTTTCTGGGTACAATTCAAAGTACTGGTTTTCATCTATAAAGCCATATGTAACTTAGGTCCAGGTTATCTGATGGCTCATATTCTCCCAGACAATCTGCTTCTGTCCCTGAGGACTTGCTTATGCTCTTGATCTCCCTTCCTAGGAAGACTAGACTACCCCCTTCATGCTGCCCTTCTGTGGGCAAGAAAATAATTTTCTATTCTAATATGTTGTTAGGACGTGAGTATTTTTTTAAAAAAAAGCTTTTAAAAGGATACTGCATCGTTTTTAACCTACTTTTTGTTTGCAATAAATGTTTAACATTTTGTTTAATGTTATTGATAGTTTAATTGCCTTTAATCATGATTTTTGTATATTTTTAATCTATATTGTATTTGCTATAAAATATAATCTGCCTTGAGTTTCACTTCTGGGACAAAGGTGGGCTATAAATAAAATGAGGGAGGGGATGAAATATTTTCTTCTACAACAGTCAGCCCCACCTAATGTGGGATTCTAGGAAATATTGTCCTAACTATCTGGTGGGCAAGTTTTCCACAACATGTTACCCAAATGTGTTAGATTACAATTACAATCCTTCTTGCTGACTGTGGATTTATGATGGATTTATAGTTCAATGGATATGGAAAACACAGAGTTATGAAATATTGATCAGCACTGGCTGGCAATAACTTTCCAGAGTTTCAAGCAGAAGTCTTCTCCAGCTCTGCCTAGAGATATTTAGACACTGAACCTAGGATCTTCTGCCACAGGCAATGCATTTCCTCTAGTTATGAATTATAACCTCCCTCATTGAAGGCAGGGGAAAGCTGCATGGTTCTTAAAACTCAAAATGTGAAGCTCAAAATGTTCATGTTTCTTATCAGATCACCTGGAGCTCCATGTAGGAAGGGTAAAATTGTTGTTGCTGTTCAGCATCCCCAGTCTCTTCCTTGTGATACTGGCATTTCCAGGAACACTGTGGTCTGTCTCTGTTCTTTGAACTGCCCAAACCACTCTAAGCTGTGTTTTCTTCCTCATGCTCCTGACATATCTCCAGTTAGAGCTTGAAAGGTGCTCTTTAGCAGAGAAGGAAATTTCCATGCAATCTCCCCACAGAGTATATTACCATAAGAATGGCTTAGCTGGTTAAAAGCAACCTTAATAACTTTATGTCCCTCTAATGGTATAAGCAAGATAGATATTACTGAGGTTTTTAAACAGATCACTCTGAACAATATTTTCCACATAGATGCATCTCTCATCAGGTCATTGCTTGGTACATTTCCAGAAATGAACTGAGCCATCACACTTCTGCTCCTATTTTTGATGCAGTAATAGTAGACCCAAACTGTGTAACTTACCTTTCTAAGATCCAGACAAGTTTCATATTTCTAGATAATACAATCCAATAGCCAGTTACTCTGGTGGGGAGTAAGACACAATGAACATAGATAGGCTTAACTTCTGGAAAAGTAGTATTATTGAAATAATATTTCTAGGGTGCTACTGTTCAACAGACAGACAATGGACTACTCATACCCACATACCTAGAAGTAAGCCCACTGAATGCAATGGGACTTCTAAGTAAGAGATATGTAGGAGTGCACTGTTAAATCTTTATGGTCACCATACCATCTTCCTTATCTTTGTCATCAGTACATCTCATCATCTTTTGCTAATGCTCTTGGCGGCCAGAAAATCTAATCCTATCTGTTGTGTCACAGTTAGGAGTGGAAAGTAGAAGTGTACCAAAAGTCATCAGAAGTAAACCTATGGAACAGTTTAGTAAAGAATGGCTGATGATACAATTTGGTAGCCCTACTTGATGCTTGATTGCATGATTCTTCCCAAGGTCATGAGACATGGTTCCTTGTCTGAGATACCAACAGTGGATGTTTTAATTTACACAGACTCCATGTGCATTACAGTATATTCTGATATATAGCCATAAATAGCATTTGCATATCTCCACAAACATTTCAAAATCTAAGCATAGTCTCCAAGCACAGTCTAGTGGTTGCAAATTTGGTTCTTCTATGTAATTTTCTAAAAGGTTAACATATCAAAGTGTTCACGTAATTAGCCAGTACAAACTGTACAGTAAGGGAACTGGGAGAGGTTTACTGATCATGACTTTTAAAAACAACCTTAATATTTTGTGACATTCTTCAGGAGACATCTGAGTTGCAGGTAGTACTAGTATGTTGCACTATATGTATTATACTCATGCCTGTAGTTTGGTCAGAGGTGGAGAGGAGTCTTTCCCCTTTCCTTATATTGCTTGATTAACCAATTATTAAAATGTTTATTTAGATTATTTTTTAAAAAATATAAGAAGGTAAATGATCTTGATTGCTTTCCCTTTAAACATCTTAAATCATTTTATAAAACTAACAATTAATTATTTCATTAATTAAAATCTCAAAGCTTTTACAAAATTAATAAAACGACAATTAATTAATGAATCATTGACAGAAACTTGGCTAACACTCTCTCTGGGTGCATCTACACTATAGAAATGGTGCATTTTGACACCACTTTAAGTGCTGTAGCTCCATCCTATGGAACCCTGCATTTGTAATTTTACTAGCATTCTCTGCAAAGAGTGCTTGTGCCTCACAAAACTGAAATTATAGGATTTGTTAGGATGGAGCCATGACAGTTAGAATGGTGTCAAATTACATTATTTCTGCAGTGTAGATGCACCCTCAGGCACAGAGTGAAGCAAAGGCAACCCTGCCCCCAACAAATTTGCCAAGAAAATCCCATAATATGACTGCCTTGTGGTCTTCATAAGTCAGAAACAACTTGTGTGCAC